TCAAACTGGACACATTCAAACTGGACACATTCAAACTGGACACATTCAAACTGGACACATTCAAACTGGACACATTCAAACTGGACTCATTCAAACTGGACACATTCAAACTGGACTCATTCAAACTGGACTCATTCAAACTGGACACATTCAAACTGGACTCCCAAAGAGACAAAAGAAAACAAGCAGACACATTAGAACAAGAATAAAAAACAGTCTGAAAGAAGAAAAATGTAAATAAAGTTAAATATGTATTCAGAACGTAAAAACATAAGTCACAGCTGTAATGTCCTAAACGAGCCGAACATTTTGAGACCTGAACAGCTAAAATAACTCAAAGAAAGTAGAAGTGATAAAAAGCTACAAAAAGATAACGCTGAGTCAGCGTCACATCCTGCCTTTAACCTTTAATCACAGCCCGGTTCCTCTCTTGAAGACGTTTCTCATTTAACTCTCCCTCATTTGAATTCTGGGTGGGTTTCAGCCGGTCCCGATCCGAACTCAGGGGGAAATTTTGACTAATTAACATGACAAGTTTCTGTTCAGCGTCTGCAGCTGCCATTTTGTCTCCACTTTGAGTTTCCCTCTCCGGAGGATCCGTCTTTCATTCGCCTCGTGTTCACATTTGATTTCTTGTCTCCTCAGACRGATGTTCGGGTCGTTGGACCCGCTGGGACCGGTTCTGACATCAAATAAAACCCATTTTAAACAAGATGCACAAACAGAGTCTGGTATGGTTTGATGATCAATTATTTACCTCTCGTCTATTTTTATTGTTTGAGGTGGTTTTCAGGAAGTGGCAGGTTTACAACAAACAACCTGTAATCAAACGGGCCACGGATGAAGCAGGCTCAAACTTCCAACAACACATTCTGCTCCGCCTGGACCAAACTGTGGAAACACTTAKCCTGAAGACTCCATCAGGCCGAGCTTTATTCTGAAGGATATCTTCAGCTCCACACCAGCTGACAGCTGATTTATGGCTCCATATTTCACAGCTGCAACCACCAGCTCAGAGAAACTTGATGTTTGTGGTGCGAGTGGGTTAGGAGTTAAAACTGTAAGAACAGGACATAAATCCTGGTGAGTGAGCGGGGCCAGGAGCCAGGGGTGGACAGCTGGATGTACTGAATGTTTAATCAAATATATATCTGTTGCATCGAGGAGCTTTCTTACACCGACACGCAGCCACACACCAAAAAGGAAGTTGGTATTTCACTTGTTTTTCAGCTCACAGACAGACAGATGGACAGACGGAGGACATGTCCGAATCATCGCTTCGCTCCGAGACGAGACACTAAGCTTCACCACCAAAAATTATCTGACATTTCTACGTTTCAAATGATTAAACTGAGAACATCTCTGCCTCGATATGAAGAGGGAAGGTTGAACAGAGCTCACTCAGAGGGAAGGTTTCACTGAGGCGCAACGTCTCGTCTCGATTCAACACAACTCCTAATTGTGAACTCCCACAAGAGGTTTTGTTTAGAAGATAATGTTTCTGAGAGAGAAAAACCAAACGCTGCTAAATAAAACACCAATAAAGAGATGGATTCACGACTTTATGGATCAATATTATAT